GAAGCATAAACAAGGTCTTCCTTTTACAAGGACATCGCCGCCCTCTCGTTCCCTCCACAACGGCAATTAGAGGTTCAGGTCAAAAAACCTCAGGAATGTGAATCGGAGTGGCTGGCGCGGGCGGCCTGCGCCTGCCTGCAGCTCGTAGGGCGCGTACTGACGGCGGTCGTGCACCGTTCGCGCGTAAATCTCGCGTCGTTCGGCGCTTTGCAAGAAAGCAAGGAATTAAGTACGAAAAGAAAGACGAGCTTAAACAATGTTTGCTTTACGCGCCGAAATCTGAAAATCATTGACGCGTTATGACGTCGGATGTTCGCACTGTGTGTGTACGGCGCGCCCTTCACGTGTGCAGATGTCTATGTATTTTGCGGTATTATACGGCTCAAGGATAGAGAGCATGTCCAGTAATAAAGATCATTCCGTATACTTATTCTGTTTCACCGTCTTTGGACATATCTTCTATCCTTGAACCGATAGATACTTGTGGCTTACGTATGTTCTGTTTTGTTCCAGCATCACTGGTGTAAAGAGGATGAGAGAGAGAGAGAGTAGAGAGATTGTGGATGAGAGAGACGGGATGATGAGAGAAGGATGAGAGGAGAGAGACGGAAAGATGGTGAGTACAGTGCGAGGCGAGGGAGAGAGAGAGAAGTAGAGAGAGGAGAGAGAGAGAGAGAGGGCGCGGGGAGGAGAGTGGTAGTCGGGAGGCTGGATGAGACGTTGATTAGACGAGCCGTCGCCCCGCGCGGCCCGAGGAGACAGAGGATGAGGGAGATGGAATGAGAGGAGGAGATGGAGAGGAGTGGTGTGTTGTGTTCAGCGAGAGAGGAGAGAGATGATATGAGAGACTGAGAGAGAAGTTGTCTTGGGGCATTCACCACAGGTGCGCTGCTCGGATGCGAGAGAGCAAGCTGAGAGATGAGAGCGCTCTCTCTCTCTCTCTCCGCTCTCTCCTCCCAACTGCCTCTCTCTGCTCTCTCCTACCAGCTTCCTCTCTCCGCTCCCTCCACTGCCTCTTACATCTCCATCCTATCCTCGCTTGCTTACTGTCTGGTCCGTATCTTTCGTCTGTTTCCTCCCGGCCCCATATCTAAGCAGCATCTCTCCTATAGGATCTCTCATCCCTCCCATGCTCTCACCTTCCTTCACCACCCGCCTCCTTTGCGGCTGCTCTCTCTCTCACGCGCCAAGATACACGCCTCTTGAAGGATGAATGAACACTAGCGCGTGACGAACAATATAATCGCTGACGAAGTGTTTTGTTATACGAGACGATTACACAGCGCACGCTTAACAACAGATGGTTATTTTTTGTATTGAGGGAGAAGAGAGGGGGAGAGGGAGCTCTTGCGCGCGTGTGTGTGATTTTCCGTGCGTGCGTCCGTTCCTGCGCGCGTGCGTGCATGTGTGTATGTGTGAGTGGTGGTTAGATTGTGGAGTGTGGTTGTCCAGCCACCGCCACCGCCACCGCCACCATAATGATAATGATGATGATGATGATGATGATGATGATGATGATGATGATAATGATAAAAATAATGATAACAGTAACAAAAATTAGGACAATAGTAATAACAATAACGGTATTAATAATAATAATAATAATTATTATAACAACAACAACAACAACAACCACAACAACAACAACAACAACAACGTGATGATTATCTTCATCATCATTATTTTCATCGTAAACAGCAGCAGCAGCAGCAGCAGATAGTACGGCAGCTATTCAACAGGTATTACGGTGACAAATTAAGTATGTCAGTGTATGCGTGCGCTTGAATGTTTTATTTATCAATAGAAAGACTTAGAACTCTTTGCAATTGCTAATTTCAGAAACTAGAATCTTTCCTGAATCCGACAGTCTTGGCGACTCGTCCGGGGTGCATTGCTGGGGCGGCCGGGGAGGGCCTTTCAAAGGAAGTCTACTCTTTCGCGCGTAAAATCACATTGCAAAGTGGCCATATCGAGTGTGTGCCGAGAAAAGCTTGTTTGCAGAATAAATTACGGAAGAATGTTTGAGTTAACAACATATATGGTGTCACTCGCGATGTGGATTCAGAGGATGGCATTGTTATTTTTCAAAATAACTTCTGCTGATTTATGGGAATTTTTTCGCAAGTATGGCCGCCAATGAGAAATGATTTCCCAGTGTAGTACCAACACTGCTCGTGCGGCCGTGACACGGCCACGCACCTCCTCGCGCCTAAACACAACAAAACACTACCAGCTATAAACCACCATCATGCCGTCATCTCTTGACTCGTCTACGGCCGTCGTCTGCACGGCCTTATGCACCACAGCCCGCTTCGAAGGCTGTTCACGTCAAACGCACGCCGCATTGTCGCAGCGGAATTATTTATCAATCAAATGCTGACAGCTGCCATTTGCCTTTTTCCGGTTCCGGTTCCGCTGGCGGAGCGCAGAGACCTTGTACGGTTCATAAACCCGCGGTGTAGCTCGCAGCGGGTGTGTGCCGCGGCTCTCCTAGTCATAAATAGGCGGCCTCGTGTTCTCTGCCGCCTTTATCTATAGACCCTATGCTAGGTGTTTCGGGGCGCGGGTACTCAAAAGAGGATGGAGAAGAAAATAACGATAGATGAGAGAACACAATAATATGCGTGGGAGAGCGCGAGCGGTCTGAACAGGAGGAAAGATCAAAGTAGATGCCGAAAGACGAAGTGGAAGGGAGGAGGGGGGGAAGATGAAAGATAAGTGTACGTAACAATGGGTGAAAAGCAATAATATGCGTGAATTGTGGTGTTTCATTTTTTGCGCTAACTGTTTTTCTTGCCATGTAAGGTTGTTTATTCGAACTCACACAGACACGCACGCACGCACGCACGCACGCACGCACGCAC